GCACTGTTCTCCTGCAGCTCCTTCGTTCTGACATTAGTTAATCGACTCCAAAATGTAAGTTCCGATTTTATTATAATTGGTTTTATTAAATTGAAAAGCTTAGCTTGTGTGCCAAAAGCAAATCGGTAAATTGACCTCTATCAACTTTGTCCCTCATGCATTTGTTGATAAGCAGCTTCTTTTATAAGGTGTTTTAAATAGCCATCGTTTCGTAGTGTTATCCTTATGTAATTCGGTTCTATTTGAATGTCAGTTTCTCCAGAATTCAGTCATTGATATGTGTTAACATTAGTTTTAGCGATCTCTTGCTTTACTCAGTATGGTCGATTGGAAGTAAATCGTTGGAATCTATTCGTCTGAATCGGTTTGCTTTAAACCTCTGTTTGATAGTTGTTCTCCTAACGTGTATTCAGAACGTCCAAAAAGGAGAAACTGCCGTTCTGTTCATTTTCAATGTCAAATTTTATGTCAGTTTTTGCAGCTGGCAAAACGTCATCCATATCTCGTCTATGGAACCCTGCCTGAATGTCGCTTGTTGATGTTTGCAAAGCACTTGTTTCGAAATGTTCCATAAACCTTGCAGAAACGGTTGGCGATGAGATGTTGCAAACTGCAGCCCCGTTGTTCTGTTATATGAGAAACAGTTGTTGTCAAACAGGCGGATTCTGAGATTCTCCTGATTTTCTTTGCCGCATTGTTGTTAGTTTTCGTTTAAGGCTTTGATTCGCTTGCTCTTTATTTTTTGCCACACCCATCTCGACGTTAAGAGGAAGGCTGGCAAACTGACTTGTCATATAATAGTTTTCTTGGATGATATTTTTTGAACACAAATAGCATGCAGTTATTGTGCGAAATATAGTCAATTATTTGCATGCGAGTTCACTTATCCATTGTGACTAGAAAGACTTGGCTGCATTAAATTTGAGAGCAAAGATGCAATATTGCGATTGGTAGAGACGATAGGCCGCGTTGTATTCCGGATTTACATATCTTAAGTAGGCAGTGAAACTCTCACTACTGAAGCTGTTTTTAAATATTAACATTTGAATGGCATCATATTTACTTTTTGCATTTGGCCATTTATTTTCTTACTTGACTAAT